TTTACTTTTTTATTGTTAAGCCCCATCCCACCCCAGACAAGCGAAAAATGCTCTGGAATAGCTAGAATGTTTCATGTCTTCTCTGAGAAAGTGCACCCTGATTTTTTAGCTCCCCTGTACAAAGAAGAGGAATATTCCCCAGATAATGTGGGGAATAATTATTTTATACCATCTCTAAAGGTTAGAATAGAAAATAGAGGATCCTAAATGAGGATGGTAGCTTTTTTCTTTTTCTTTTTTTTTGTTTTGTTTTTATTCTAACTCTTCTCATCAACATGTTAAAGGAAAATACAAGATTGCTGGCTGATTGTTTTGAAAAATATATTGCTTTGGATAAATTTTATAAGCTTGAATCACATCTAAATATTTTTCTCCATGTTAATTTAATAGTGCAGTGAGCTTAACTCTAAAATACAGTTTTATAGTCAACAACATGGAATTTTTTACAACTTACAAACTCTGCCTGTTTAAAATGTTCTATTAACTCAGAGTAATAAGGATTTATCATTTTAAAGCCTTTGGAAGATAGTGCTCCAAATAACCAAGCTTAGGTATATGATGTTAGGAAGCTATAAACTAGTGTTTCTTACATATAATCATTGTGCGACTTCATTACACATTTGTCAACTTTGGACTAATTATTTTTATACAGCTAGGGCAGGGCACTGCATCTTGTGATCGTCTTTCTTACTAATAGGATTCTGTCTGCTTCAGCAGGCAGTAATTGAAGGCTTCATGTACAGAGTAAGAAAAAAAGTTTTAGCCTGAGTGGGCCATTGTCACAGTTTCTGGTAACCAGTAGAACAGAAAGCACAAGAAAATTGAACTCAGAATAGAAAAATCAGAAACCAGGAAGTCTATCCAAGAGAAGAAAAAGCATGTCTTAGAGCTGTTGCATTAAGTGTAGCAAATATGACAGACACTGTGTAAACAGTTTATGTTTGTGAATACCCTGGAGGTCGATGCAGCCTCACTGATATTTTTTAATTCATGTTGTCCTATTAACGTTTCAGTTAAAACAATTTGTAGGATTTCTTTTCCTTTTGACAAACAGCATTGATTGTCCATAACTTACAAATCTAAAAAAAAAAAAAAGGAAGCAAGCCCATGTTTTACAGATAAATACATTTGTCCAAATTTGTTATTATTTGACCTGTTTTCATAATTCTGTCAGGTTAAAATAAATTAACTTTTTTTGAAGAGTGGTTCATACTTTCATTTAGGTTTGGCAACCGGTTTATTTTGTCTTTTTCTTAATCTTAAGAATTCTTAGCTTCAAAGATTAAATGTCAATTGCTAGCGATAATAAACAAAGAGACATTTAATAAGATGAAATACAGCTATATCCAAACAGTTTTGCCTTCTCGGTGATTACAAACAGCAAGTGCTTGGTGGTAGGATGAAAATAAATTATGAAAAATACCTAGGTGGTATCCTTTTAATAACACGGAGCCCGGCCTACATAGGCAATGCATCTTTAACTGCCATCCACTTATTTGTCCTCATTTGTGGCATTACTGGTGTTTGAGGTTGGTTGGTCTCCCAGTAGTCCCTCCCTCTGTTGCAGCTCCATTCAAGATGTTTTGTATTTTTCATTGCTGGTGTCTCTTGAAGGAGTGGGTGGTAGGAGAAGTTTTAAATATTTTAAATCTTTAAAGGCAGAAATGTAAACTATGTATGACAAAGCATCATGCAAGATGCTTTGAATTATAGAATACTGCAAAGTCAGGTACACAGTTTTTAAAGGGGAAAAAATCTTCCTTTTTAAAGTTTTTGGAATATTAATAGATTATGTGCATATTAGGTAAATAAGAAGGAAGCAGATTCTGTCGACTAATTTAAAAAATTTTAAGAGTGCATTTTTGCAAATATGCAAAAAATCCCAAGCAGGAATTTGCATGGGTTCAAATTCCTGCTCGACCATTCAGGAACTGCGTGTCCTGAGCAAGTTTCTCAACTTCTGTGGGCCTCAGTTCCCTCGACTTTAAAGTGATCTGCCTCATAGAATCAAATGAAATGGCACAAGTGATGAAGTATGTAGTACCCACTGCACAAAACACTTAATTTATGGCACCTGTTACTTTCATTATGATGATCAAAAATTTCGCATGCCTTCTGAAAAAACTTTGTCACCACGTGATCTTAGTTTGAGGCCAAGCACAGAGGTTCTAATGTCAGCCATTAAATGTATGTAAGTTTTTGACCCAAGCTGTCCTTGTAATCAATGTTTCTTACATCCGTGAGCTAGCTGTTTACTGTGTACTCGTTAGTATTCTTTCCATAGCTATCTTTTAAATTGGGAGTTAAATGATGAATAAATTTTAGGGAGTGGCTTTTGCTTTCCATGGGCCAAAACAAACCAATTGTAATCATGCTGTGTTCCAGTTAAATACCTCCATTTGAACTATGAAACAAGAGTGTCCAGACATCTACATAGTCTTCTGCTTCAAAGCAGTGCTCCCACCATTTTGTGCCACTAGAACAGAGAGACTGGCTACAAGGCAGTCGCTTTTACTCCGCTAACAGGTTTTATTGCTAGGATGATTCACTTAGCATGTTTCCACTGCAGTGCAAGCAAATGCCTCTCCTTTGCTTACCCCTGTTCTTTACAGTATTGAGGATTTTGTGGTAATAGGATTTCAGAAACATGTTCAAGACACTAATTTTAATCTTTGTAAACGTACTTGTATCAGAATTGACATTTATGTCTCCTGAGTTTGTATTATTCTGACTCAGTTTTCAATAGAAAGAAGATAAAATGTGCCTTAGGGCTCAGTAACCCTGAAATTCAAACAACAGTGCTTTTGTGTTCCCATTCAGACATAATCTCCTCCGTGGTCCCAGGGCAGAGTGTTAAGTAGATAAAGGGACTAATAAGACTATTGTTTACATAATTATAACTCTATCAGAAACAGGGGCCACTACTGAAGTATTTGGTGATGACCAGATCTGTGGGGAAGGTTGCATAAGTGAGTGGGACAAAAGGGCCACCTCATGTCACTGCTGTCGTGGTTTCACAGAAGTACAGGAACAGGACTCTCCCAAAGCGTAGAACCTCAAAAACGTGGACAAAAGACATGCACAAACCTGCAAGAAAGGCTGATAGAAGAGAGGTCATCCTGGGACTAGTGATCTTCATGTTCTCTCCAGGATGAAATTGGGGTCCCCAGTTCCTGAGCGACTGTGAGGATGACTGCAGAGCAGGTGGAGGTGTATGTTAAGAGCTTTATAAAGCCTCTCTCAACTCCGTGTGATTTCTGTTCCTAAGCTGGCTGTTTACGGTTGCTTCCCTCAGTAGAAACACTGTCTGATTCCTTCCACGTCTCAGTGTGTTTGGAGAGAGTACGAAAATAAATGACTGGGAGAGTTGCTAACATTATCAGCAACCCACTAGCTACCATTTTAAAACTCAACTTAAAAGTGTTGATAATATTTTCAATTTAGTAGAATTAGCATATTTTGCTTTTCATGCATTATTCTAATGATTGTTGGGAAACTGATTTTCATGATTCTATTTAGGTAAAAATGGTTTGCTAGGTTTCAAAAAAAAGAATCTAATGTGTTATGAGATCTTGATGTCATTTCAAAAAAACCCTCAAAAAAGAAATTTTCATCTAAAGAGAATCTGCTTCCTGCTTAAGTGGCTAATATTTTAATTAAGTCGGGAGTGAAGTTTTTCTGAGTGTCTCCTGATAAACTCCCTCTTTTATGTTGATGGTAATTAAACAGATCCCCGAGGACGCTGTGGGCTCTGCGCGAGGCCCATGCTAATTGTCAGACATGAGACACTGACCAGTTGGTTTGCTCTTGAATAGTCCGCAGCGTGCTGTCAGCACGGCAGTTTTATTTTTATGTATTGTGAGCTGTTGTCAGGGCTAACTGGGTGCCATTGTGGCTGAAGATGTTGCGCAAATTGAGGCAGATGGCTCAGATTCAGACACGTGTCATACAGAAAGGGGAAAGGGGATTGGCCCTGCAAAGTGGGGTCACAGCAGGTCACAGACCTGCTCTACACTTGTTAGTGTTTTCAAAAGCTCATGTGCAGCAACTTTGTTTTTCTCCAGTCATCCCTGCAATCAAATCCCCTCCCCCCGCAAAAAATGTGTGGAACATGCTCCATGCGGAAAATGGAAGCCCAGGAGGGTACCATCTTTCCTCCACGTCTCTGGGGCTCCACTGTGCACGCAGAATGAATTAGCAGGATTGACAGAAGTTCATTGTGCCTCCAACGGCTTTTCAGTCAATTGCAGTGCTTAAAAGGCTAGTTTTGCTTTTAATTCCATGTAATTAGTAGGTTCTTCATGTCTTGGAATTTAGTAATGGAGCCTTAGACCTCAAGTTGCCTATATCCTAAAGCAAAAAGGATTTAATGTTCTGAACGTTTAAAAAATGTAAAAAGATGGAGAGAGTGTGATGTTGCACTTGGCTATCACATGATTTTGTTACATGGTATCATCAACATTAGAGATTGAATTTGAATATTTCAACATGTGTGACTTCATTGAAACTTAAGAGTTTTATAATGCACATTAAATTATCTAACTTTTTGCGTAATCATTTTCAGATATGAGGAATTAAAATTCCAAGCTCTTTGAGAAAGGTACCTTTTCTTAACATGTTTTAAAAATAAAAATATAGAGGTTTATTCTAAGTGGCCCTATGCATGGTGAAATGTTAAATTATCAAATGAATGAATGATTCCCAATTTGTAGGAATGGAGAATTATTCACATGCAAAGGCTGTTTAAACTAATAAGTAAACTAGACTTCCTTTTCCTGTTCTGTTCTAAAGATGCACTAAAATTACCTGCTTGTTGTAAGCATGGTGCTGGGCAATTTATTGATTTTTTTTTTTTCCCGGCAAAATGCTTGGCTTTGGGTTTTCGGCAGTAGGGAACATGTAGTAAATTATTGGAAAAAAGGAGTCATTTTAAACCTATTTGAATTTCTGCTGTCTCCTTTTCCCCCCTCATGATAAAAGGTCTCTCTTTTTTCTAACAGGTTTGCAGCTAAAACTGTGCACAGTGGGTCATTGATGCTAGTCACAGTGGAACTCAAGGAAGGCTCTACAGCACAGCTTATCATAAACACCGAGAAGACTGTGATTGGCTCTGTTCTGCTGCGGGAGCTGAAGCCCGTCCTGTCCCAGGGGTAACCTGCTACATCTGGACTTCAGAATCTGGCACACAACAAAAGTGCCTGGCATCCACGACTGCTGCCTTTCATTTATAATAATAGCCCTTCCATCTGGCAGTGGGGAACACACTCCTGACATTCTTGTCTCCTGCTTTAGAATGCTAGTGTGGAGCTATCATGTGTGCAATTCTGTCCCCACTTTCGCTTTGCTAACCAAAGAACATACTTTTTACTGTCAGTTCTCTTAACTCTTGAGTCCATGTGGCATTTTCTCTATCCTGCTACTTCTTCTGTCCTTCTCATCTTCCTTCCCTTTTTCAACAATGATGGACATGAATTGGATATTTAAAGTTTATTGGAAATCACCTTCCTTCCCACAATAAGCAGAAATTAGCCTAGAAATAGTCTGTATGGCCTCTCAGCTTGACGTGTGAAAATGGGATACTTTTTAGAATTAAGTGCCAAAACAACAAGATCTCCGCAAAATTTTGTTCTATGAATTTCCTGGTATTATAATCGGTTATTGACAACTGTCATCATGAAATTATCTCTGAATAATAAGATGAATAAACTAGCCTATGAAGAGCATTTGCCTTTGCATTTTTAATGAGAAATTGTTTATTATCCTGAAGTTTGCATGCTTAGTTTTTTTTTTTTACTCTAAAGTAGATATTTTGAGTGTTTTATTATGCAGAGAAGCAATGGGGTTTAATGAAAGAAAAAACACTTTCAGACTAAGCAGATGTTTCTAATTGTGTTATATTCTTTACTTTTGCTGCTTACTTAGATTTAAAATTTATGTTAAATCAGTAATATAATGTAGTATGCTAACAATTGAAACCACTTTAATATCAATAGCTTAATATCATTAAAATATTTTTCACATAAGTGAAATTAGAAGAATGACCAAAGTCCCATTTCAGATTTGGGTTTTTGGGGGTTTTTGGTACAATGATTCAGAGTTCCTTGCCTCATAATTCCTTTAACTTGATCATAATCCATGATTATCTTTAAATTGTTCCATTGAGTCGAGTTAGTCAATGTTGAATTCTTAATTCTAGCTGTATTTTTTCATTTTAATGTCCACTTAATGGGACATTTGATGTGCACCAATCTTGAAGAATTACTCTCATAGTATATTTCAGCCTGAGCCTCATTTTTAGTATCACAATGCATTTGCTTTATTTATTTAAAAAAAAAAAAAAAAAGAGCACTAGGCGGTTTGGCTCAGTAGATAAAGCATCAGCCTGTGGACTGAAAGGTCCTGGGTTTGATTCCAGTCAAGGGCACATGCCCGGTTTACAGGCTCAATCCCCCAGAGGGCGTGCAGGACAAGAAGGGATAAAGAAAAATTCACTCTCTCATCTTTTATTTCTCTCTCTCTCTCTCTCTCTCTCTCTCTCTCTCTCTCTCTCTCTCTCTCTCCTTCCCCCCGCCACACTGCCTTCCTCTTTGAAATCAATAAAATTACATTTTTTTAAAAGAAGAATGTTTTTATTCTGAAGAGATAAGAACAATGAATTTATCAAGTTAAAATACTGGATACTTATCCTTCCTAGTAACTATTTGCAAATATTTGAGTAACTTTATAATAGCTTACCAAAAGTTTGCCTTTGTAACCCGGGTTTTTGTTGTTAAGAATTTAGAAGTTACTATTAGAGAAGACAAGAATCCAGAATGAATGAATAACACAAGAAGAAGTTTTAAAAAAAAAAAAAAAAAGGTTGAACAAGCTAAAGGTAAACCTAAGCTCTTTCATCTTTTTTGTTTCCTCACTGTAATCTTTTTTATTTTATAAGGAATTTTATTTAAAGGTAGAAAAATATTCTTTTCACATAGATGGGAGCCCCATGTTATAACACCAAATTAACAGCCTTATTATTTCCTTGCTACTTAAAGACCACATTCACTCTGGAATGTGAAGAACTTCAGTAACCCTTGTCAGGGTTGTGCAAAAATAGATCTATATCCCCAAGTAACCCACAGTTCAGTTGCAATAAAGAAATGTCAAAAGTATGGAGTTCACTAAATTAGTGAGCCCTGGATAGCAAACAGATTTTGTTTACATCCTAATATTGGCTCACCTCCTCCCCCAACCCCACGCACTTCAGGTACCAAGTCCAACAGACTTAAACACTCGGTCCCCAGAGACTTGCTAACTAAACCCATCTATCCACCTCCACCTCCAGCTCTCCACAGGTGGCCAACCAGACCAACCAGCCACTGTGCACTTCAGTTCTTCCATAAATTGAAGGTCGATTCGATTTCTGATCATGTACTTGCTTATTTTTTTAAATCATCTTTCTTCTTCACTTCTGCCTTCCAACTTAACCAGTTACCTCAGGAAGTTTTCATGATTACTATTACTCTCTTCTTGAGATTTGTAGAGGGAGGATCAAGTTTATGATAGTGTTGTAGAAATTGTGTTTAATAGAAAAATATGTCGTTAGATGGACCAGAAGATTTTTTGAATCTGTTCAGTCTCCGCCTGTTTTCTTCATGTGACTGCCTGACAAACTGCATTCAGTCCAACTAAAGGGGTGCTTTTCTCTCTTCCTGTTTTGGCAACATTTCTTTTTATTTTTCTACCAATTTTCAGCTGTGTTGTGGAGTAAGCAGAACTTTAAGGTCTGACCTAAAAGTTAACCACCATGTGTAATTGCTTTTTGAGGAAAAGTGTTTTAGATTCCATATGAGCACTTGATTAGCAAACTTGGAACAGAGCCGTTTGAAAGCTGAAGTGGTTTCTGGGAAACACAGTGAAGCAGTTGCCTGGTTCATTGTCTCGTCACAGCAGTAGAGCTGTTGAGTTCAGAGGAGGACCTGATCGCTAGGTGAGGGATGTCTGAGACGGAGAAGCTAGGTAAGTCTTGAAAGTAGGGTGGCATTTAGAGTTTCCAGAAGTAGGAGAAGGGAGAGTAAGTATATTGATCTCAACTGATGCTGTACCGTTTCTTTTTTTAAATTTATTGGTCTTAGAGAGTAAAACATCGATTTGTTGTTCCACTCATTTATGCATTCATCAGTTGCTTCTTGTATGGGCCTTGACTAGGGATTGAACCCACAACCTTGCCACTCTAACCAACTGAGCTACCCAGCCAGGGCTAAGAAGCTGAATCTTAAAATGTTTTTTAAATACCTTTGTACAGAAAGCATCATTGCCAACACACCAGGAAGTGATGTGTCCTTTTCCTCTCCTTGCCCTCACTTCTTTCCCCTCCCACAGTCTTTCTCCTGAAGCCACCCCAAGCCTCTCCTCCGTGGCCTGTGGTCTTTTACAGGAGAAACGGATGGTTGGGTATTACCGGTGGGGCGGTGCTGCCCTTGTACAGTATAGAGGCAGGAAAAACAGACTTCGTTGGTTTTACTCTCCTATAGTTTTAGATATTTTCCCTTTAGGGTTTTAGTTATTTCCTATACCACTCATTAAATGATTATGAGTTGAAATGAAACTGAAATTTCTAATCTCATTTTTGTCTTTCTCTCAGGCGAGGTTTATGTACATAGTCACTTGCACATGTAATTCCTAACTGGTTCAGTAATTATGTACACCGAAGACCCCAAACCCTCAGAACTCAAATATGAAATCATTACAATGTCAAACCTGTCTAATGGCATTTTAAGACAATGACTTCTCATCTACAACCTTAAGGACCAGGGATACCAAAGATTCAGGTTATTCAGGTAGCATAATCTTTATTCTGAGATCTAGAGATGTTTAGAAAACCTAGCCAGTAGGCATTTCTGCCAATGGGCTCAGTCGTGTCAGTCCTTCAACCGCAGATGCTACAAGGGCACTTGGAGAGAACAGGGAAGCCTCGCCTTGGCCTGGGAGGGGACGGGGTCGGGGAAGGAAAAGAGAGTAACTCTCAAATTGTACCCCAGCCAAGATTCTGATCACTCCCCCGCCCTCCCCCACTCCCCTCCCTGGCAAAAGAGCGTATCTTCTCAGGCCATATAAGAACCATGGTGTGTGTGTGTGTGTGTGTTTAAGCAGTGTAATGAATGAGGGCTCTTGCATTATAGTAGGTGTCAGCCATCTTCATGGATAACAGTAAGGAATTGTTAAGACCATGGCTGGCCTACAAAAAGAAAAATGTTAAATTCTGCAAAGTAGTCAGGAAAGGTTATATGACGGGATCCTCAGACTAAATTTAAACCCCCATTTCTAATGAGTTTATGGTTGTATGCTTATTCCCCTTTGTCAGTAAACTGTACAGTTAGGAGTGACAACAAAGAGTAAGTTGTGAACTCAAACTTGCTGCCAAATATCCTCCCAATGTAAAGTTTGATTTCTGAGACTTAAGAAGTGAAGTCACCGTGAGAAGGCCTCCTACTAGCGTCCCACTGCGGTCACCATCGCCCAGGCCTCATCAACACCTTAGGGCCTAAATAAAAATATGTTGTAAACAAAGTTGTGGACAGCTCAGTTTCCTAATTGAAAGTAATTATGATTTCTTTGCTGTGGTTTAATTACCTTAAAAACTGTTATTTGATGATTAAGATTCTGGAGTGAATTGTGTTCTTTGGGCTCTTGCACGGTTCCTCCATTGGGGACTTGGTTTCAGCGGTGTACAGCTGCTGGAGTTGATTTACAGTGCAGCGGCTGTGGCTGGTCATAAATAAATCCTCTTATATAGTTGTTATGAACACCTGTTAGATCATCTGTCAGCAAAGCGCTGTTCACATTTATCATGGTGCGGTAGTTATTTTACCTCAATCCATTTCCAACTGACTCAGCCTCCATCGCCGGATTACTATTACCACACCATAATCGCTCGTTCCCACTCCATGTTACAACTTGCAGATAAAAGATTTCACTACTTGGCCAAATTTCATAAATAAAGGAGCAGTTCAGTGCAGTAAAAGTTTATTTTTGTCATCATTTGTCACCCCATTATTCTATAAATCAAATGGAATAGCACTATTGCCAGCTCAGGCGTTGCTGTCAGCCCTCGGCATGGAAATGGTCCGTTTCTTCCTTTTAGATGAGATGACATGTCTTTCAGACTTAACCAGCTTATGGCTTTGTTTCACCCATTTTATTTTATTACCCCTCCACAAAAATCCTTGGGGAACAGAAAGACTTAAAGAGTAAAATGGAAACAGAAAACACAGCCTAGCAGGCTGCTTACTTAGCCCAGTGATGTGCATCCCTCACCCCCACCCCAGCCAGACATTAGGAACCTGACCCCCATCCCCCTCACACACGGGGTCCTTGGCTAAGGATGCTTTTCATAAACTTGTAAGGGGTTATGGTTTCTATTTGGGAAAGGCCATTACAATGTGGAGTTACAGATATTGAAATACCTGATGTGTATCCCCGGAGATCCACTCGATTTGACAGGCTTTATGCAAAGAATAGACCAACTGGCTTCTTTCCTAAAATGCATTTTAATGTCTCGGAGTCGTTGAAAGGGAATGGTCACCCCCAGAGAGTGCCTTACCCCTGGGGGTTTGTCTGCTCTGGAGCTTTGGAAGAAGAGTCAAGATTTATTAGCAAGTTGTGAACCCTGTCTCAGGTGTAAAGGCTGTGGAAGTCGATGTCCCCTGGTTAAAAGGAAGAGGACAGAAAAAGCTGGAGGGGT